CACCCCGGCCACCGCCAGCGCTGGGCTCGCCGCCCCAGCTGCCGTCGGCCGATAAGCCAACCTGATGCGGAGAACCCCGCTTGACGGGCCACCCAGGACCCGCCCCCGACTCCCCAAAGTGGCTGTCGCACTCCCTCGGCGCTCGATTTGCTTTTTAAATCCATGAGAGGGACAGTTTCTCACCGGTCATGGGGCGGCCGAGGACCAAGAGCGAGCACTAGTCTCGCCTCCCACTTCTGCATCCCAGGTCTGCTCTCAGGCGCCCGGAACCCAAACCACCTCCAGGGAAGGCGAGAGCTCACCAGGGCCGCCCGGAAACACCACGTAAGCTACTCAGACGAGAACACTGCCAGTGCCTTCTTAGTACTTAGGGACACAGAACTTTAAGGCTGGAAGGGACTCTGTAGATCGTCTAATTCAAAACTCGCATCTCTTACGTAAGAAACTGACGCCCAGAGAAGTTAAGACAGTCCTGCCTGAGGCTGCATCATTGAGACCAAGGTCTAGTTTCCAGGGTCCTCCCCTGGCATCCTGCTCTGATCCAGGACTTCTCCCTGTGCTAAGCTGTCTCTACACCTAGTGCCCACTTGAGTCCCCTGTATGGTTTTCTTCTGATTAACCTTGCCACACTCCTTCGAAAAGGAAGGATCTAAAACAGGGAGGGAACAATATCTTATCACGGCTTTGAAGCCAGTGGGATTCAAACTCAGAGCTTCACATCTGGTTGGCTACATGACCTTGGACACTTTGTTCATTTCTCTGTGCCTCAGTTTCCTCATATGTAACATGAGGATGAAACATCTCCCTTCCCAGGTCACTGTGAGGGACAAATGAACACAGGAGGTAAAAGGAGCCAGTACTGAACCTAAAACAGTACACCTCAACCAGCATGGCCTTCCTTCTTCTCCACCAGGTAGCAGGATTACCTGCTGGTCCTTGCTCCTGCTCTGTCTTCTTAACTCAAAAGTCATCCCATGGCTTTCTTGGGTTCCCAGAAAACCTTAAAGCAGAGCATCCTATAAGAGGAGGTGTTGTCAGCAGACCTTGGTAGGAATCTCACCTCTGCCGCTTACTAGCTGTCCAGTCTCGGGCAGTTTATTTAATTCTTGGTTTAGTCTCTGAATCCATAAAACAGGGGCTTTAGGATTAGACGTAATGTGTGTAAAGTGCCCGGCATGTAGGAGGCTCCTAATAAATGATATCTAGTATTATAGTTAAAAGGGTTAGAAGAGGCTGATGAGGAAAGATGGATGGGAGCCAGCAGCTCTGGCACTCACTCTGAAACACGCTGCTTATCTATACCCTGCTCTGCTGTTATCTTGAGCTAGGTGGAACTTGACTTGAAGACATGCTGGGGGTTGAATGAAACTATCCATGTTCTGGAATTATGTGATAGAAATTAATCTACTTAAGCATTTTTCCTCAAAATATTTTTCCTCCTTCTCTAGTCTAGCATAACCATGAGATCTATTCTTGGATCAACCAGAATTCCTCTTCCTCATGAGTCTAATAGGTGGCCAGATCACTATTTTAAGATACTCTGGGACTAAGCTGTTGGAATTGTTAAGTTTGAAAGAAAGCTTGGTGGTGACTAGAGGACATTAAAACTTAGTAGTCTATTAATTTCCAAATTATACAAACAGCTCATACAATTCAGTAATAAAAAAAAGCAGCCCAATCCAAAAATGGGCAGAAGACCTAAACAGACATTTCTCCAAAGACACACAAATGGCCAATAGGCATATGAAAAGATGCTCAACATTGCCAGTTAACAGAGAAATGCAAATCAAAGCTACAATGAGGTATTACCTCACACCAGTCAGAATGGCCATCATTCGTAAGTCCATAAACAATAAATGCTGGAGAGGGTGTGGAGAAAAGGAAACCCTCCTACACTGTTGGTGGGAATGTAATTTGGTACAGCCACTGTGGAAAACAGTACAGAGGTTCCTTAAAAAAGTAAAATAGACTTACCATATGATTCCACTCCTGGGCATGTATCTGGAGAAAACTCTAATTTGAAAAGACACATATACTCCAATATTCATAGCAGTAGTATTTACAATAGCCAAGACATGGAAATAACCTAAATGTCCATTGTCAGATGATTAGATGAAGAAGTTGTAGTATATATACACAATGGAATACTACTCACCTGTAAAAAAAGAATGAAATAATGCCATTGCAGCAACATGGATGGACCTAGAGGTTATCATACTAATAATTAGATAATTGAAGTCAGACAGAGACAAATAGCATATGATATCACTTATATGTGGAATCTATAAAAAATGATACAAATGAACTTATTTACAAAACAGAAGTTGACTCACAGACATAGAAAACAAAGTTAAAGATACCAAGGGGGAAAAGGGGGGAGGGCTAAATTAGGAATTTGGGATTAACAGATACAAATTACTATACATATAATAGATAAATAGTAAGGTCCTAATCTATAGCACAAGGAACTACATTCAATATCTTGTAATAACCTATAATGAAAAAGAATATATGTATGTATAACCAAATCACTATGGTGTATACCAGAAACTAGCACAACATTGTAAACTAACTTCAGTAAAAACAAAACATAACAAAACAACCTATAAGGAGATAGTAGCCTGTTCAGTTTCTATTTTAAAAAATCATAGGGGACTGAAAAGGCAGATACTTGAGAAAGTAGGAAGCTTCTGAACTAAAAACAAAAACAAACAAAAAGTACCCAGAAATAAGACAAGTTTGCTGATCTGAGTCAGTTCACAAAGTTGTCCCTGTAAGAAGTGTACACTGTGCGTTTTCCGCATCTGTGGCAGAAGTAAGAATCTAGGACAAGAGGGTATTTATGAAGAGAAAGGAGCCATGCTTACATGACTTTATGTGTTTGCTTGTGTTACAACCCATTCCAAGGGCTCCCTTTATATTTATTTAGTAACGGTGAAACAATTTCACCTGGTGCATCCATCTGGTTATTCATTCATTCAAAAATGATATTTAAGCCACTGTGAAAAACTGAAGATTTCTTGATGACACTCAGGCTGTAAGAAAACTTAACTTTCTTTTGGTGGTAGGATATTGAGATATACTGCTTTGTTCTCACCGATGTAGAGTTAATGTCCTTCCTCCATTCTGTCTCACTTTCGCTTTCTTTTGAATCAGTTAAATATTTTTATTCTTAGGTTTCTTTTCCCTTAACTTACTAAATATATATTCTTTTATTTTCTATTTAATAGTTAATTCTTTCCTAGAGATTATGACATATCTTTGACTAATCAGTGGTGCTTTCCCCTCTTCCCAGACAATGCAAGAACTTTAGACTTCTCAAGCCTCATTTACCCACCTCTGACTTACACACTACTGTTGTCATGTACTTTCATTTTTTCTATTTATGACCCTTATGAGAATATGATTACTTTGTAGTCAATATCATCTAGATTTATCTATATATTTATTATCCTTTTTTTGCTCTTTATTTCTTCCTACAACCCAGAGCCACTATCTTGGATAATTTTCCTTTTACCTGAAACACTTTTTTGTTTCCTTTAGTTGGTTATAAATTTTCTCTACTTTTTTTAACTGAAAATTTATTTCACCTTTATTTTAAAACATTATTTGGAGATTTGCCTCACTGGATATCAAGAGTTTTATTATGAAACTATAGTAATCAAGGCAATGTGTTTTGGACAGGGATAAACAAAATTAAAGTGAAACAGAATAGAGATCTTATAATTGATAGAGCTAGAATTCTAACCCAAGCAGTG